CTCGACCTCCGGAGAGGGACTCAGGCCAGTTTACAACAAAGATTCATAAACAATAGTTTAAAACATCACACCCCATAATACACTAATACATAAAATACATTAAAAAGCAATCATATAATTACATAAGTTTACTATTATTGTATTGTTTGTACTGATGATTTTAATTTGTCAACTGTTTTAAGTGCTTTTATGTATGTATGTATATTTGATATAGGCATCGAATTGTGCCTTCTTTTGTAAGCCGCCCTGAGTCCCCCCCCCCCTCGGGAGTGAGAAGGGCGGGGTAGAAGTAACTGAAATAAATAAATAAATAAATAAGGCCAAGTCGTCCAAATGAAATTATTATTATTATTAATTATTATTAAACTTTATTTGTACCCCGCTAGCATCTCCCGAAGGACTCGATGCGGCTTACAAAGGCCAAGGCCTCAATACACAACACAACAATACACTCAAAGCAAATTAAAAACCACAAGCAATAAACAATAAATCAACAAGATAAAACTGGGCCAGGCCAGAGTAAAGGGTACAGGATTAAAAAGTGCTGAAATCACAATTCATCACCATCCGTCTGTGTGGTCAAGAGTTATTGACTCACTCATCAAATGCAAGATTCCAGAGCCAAGTGTTCACCAGCTTTCTAAAAGTCAGGAGAGAAAGGGCAGTTCTAATCTCCAGTGGGAGAGAGTTCCAAAGCAGAGGGGTCACCACCGAGAAGGCCCTGTCCCTCGTCCCCACCAGACGCGATTGCAAGGGTGGTGGGACCGAGAGCAGGGCCCCTCCAGAAGATCTTAACAACCTTGATGGTTCATAGGGGAGAATCCGTTCGGACAGGTAAACTGGGCCGGAGTCGTTTAGGGATTTATAGGTCAACACCAGCACTTTGAATTCATAGAATCATAGAATCAAAGAGTTGGAAGAGACCTCATGGGCCATCCAGTCCAACCCCTGCCAAGAAGCAGGAATATTGCATTCAAATCACCCCTGACAGATGGCCATCCAGCCTCTGTTAAAAAGCTTCCAAAGAAGGAGCCTCCACCACACACCGGGGCAGAGAGTTCCACTGCTGAACGGCTCTCACAGTCAGGAAGTTCTTCCTCATGTTCAGATGGAATCTCCTCTCTTGTAGTTTGAAGCCATTGTTCCGCGTCCTAGTCTCCAGGGAAGCAGAAAACAAGCTTGCTCCCTCCTCCCTGTGGCTTCCTCTCACATATTTATACATGGCTATCATATCCCCGCTCAGCCTTCTCTTCTTCAGGCTAAACATGCCCAGCTCCTTAAGCCGCTCCTCATAGGGCTTGTTCTCCAGACCTTTTATCATTTTAGTCGCTCTCCTCTGGACACATTCCAGCTTGTCAATATCTCTCTTGTGCTTGGAAGCTAATTGGCAGCCAATGGAGCTGGCGCAACAGAGGAGTAGTATGCTCCCTGTACCCTGCTCCTGTTAGTAATCTGGCTGCCGTTCATTGGACTAATTGCAGCTTCCAGGCAGTCTTCAGGGGCCACCCCACATAGACAGCGTTGCAGTAGTCTATACGGGTTGTAACCAGAGCGTGGACCACCACGGCCAAGTCAATGTGATTTAAGAAACGTGCAGTCATTAAGATGTCATGCCAAAGGAGATTCATCAGAGAATACAAGCTGTTTATGGTGATTGTGTTGATGCGAGTAGTGTGTCATTGGGCGAGTAAGTTTAAAGATGCTGAGGTAGGAATATCTGACTTGCGTGACAAACAAAAAGTTGGACGTCCTGTGACAGCAACCACCGAGTTTCACAAGCAAAAGTTTAACAGAATTGGTTCAGTATGATCGTCATATCACTCAGAGAGAAATTTCAAGCATAATCGGCATTTCACAAGAACGTGTGGGTCACATTATTGCTTTGCTTGAGTATTGGAAGATCTGTGCACGATGGGTTGCGGAAACAGAGTGTCGACTTCTTCCGTGATGGCTTCAGCAAACTTGTTCATTGTTGGCAGAAATGTATCCAATTGTCTGGTGATTATGTGGAAAAGTGAATAGTGGTAGTTAAAGAGCACATTCTAAGGATCATTTCTGCGTTTGATTTATTAAAATAATCCCATCCAAGTAACGAAGGTGGAGGCATTACTTTTCATTCAACCCTTGAACAACTCCAAAACCCAAGGTCAATGTCCACAAAACCCTTCCAGTATTTGGTCATGGGAGTTCTGTGTGCCAAGTTTGGTTCAATTTCACTTGCAAAACTGTTTTCTGCATCTGCAAGTGTCTACTGTCCACGTTCAAGTTTTTTCTGACTTGTAGCAAACCCTATTGTGGAGTTACCTTGGCAAGATTTGTCCAGGAAGGTTTGCCGTTGCCTTCCTCTGAGGTTGAGATAGTGAGATTTACCCAAGGTTTCCATGGCTGAGCGGGACTTTGATCTTCAGCGTTACAGTCCAACACTAACTATCATCCCTTTCTGGTTCATTGTCTGTATAAAAGGTAAAGGTTTCCCCTGACAAGACTAGTTGTGTCCGACTGAGTGGTGGTGCTCATCTCCATTTCTAAGCTGAAGAGTCGGCGTTGTCCAAATATACCTCCAAGGTGATGTGGCCGGCATGACTGCATGGAACATTGTTATCTTCCTGCAGAAGCGGTACCTATTGATCTACTCACATTTGCATGTTTTCGAACTGCTTGGATAGCAGAAGCTGGGGCTAACAGTGGGAGCTCACCTCTCCCAGTGGATTCGAACCACTGACCTTTCGGTCAGTAAGTTCCACAGCTCAGGGGTTTCACCGCTGCTCCACCACTGCCCCATATCATTGTCTCTATACCAGATTATTATTAGGTAAATATCTGAAGCAGGCAGTATCATATAGCCTTCCCATCAAATGAGAGTTTCTGAATACTTTAAAAAATATTTGGAAAGTGAGAGGAGGCTTGGCCATTACTAGGACAGCATTTCTCAACCTGAGGGTTGGAACGGGGGGGGGGGGGGGGCAAGGGGGTGTCAGGGGGGTTGCCAAAGACCATCTGAAAACACAGTATTTTCTGTTGGTCATGGGGGTTCTATGTGGGAAGCTTCATCCAATTCTATCATTTGTGGGATTCAGAATGCTCTTTGATTGTAGGTGAACTATAAATTCCAGCAACGACAACTCCCAAATGGCAAGGTCTATTTTCCCCAAACTCCACCAGTGTTCACATATGGGCATATTGAGTATCTATGCCAAGTTTGATCCAGATCCATGCTTGTTTGAGTCCACAGTGCTCTCTGGATGTAGGTGAACTACAACTCCAAAACCCAAGGTCAATGCCCACAAACCCTTCCAGTATTTGGTCATGGGAGTTTGGTTCAATTCCATCGGTGGTGGAATTTATTTATTTATTTGCAGTATTTATATTCTGGCCTTCTCACCCCACAGGGGACTCAGGGGGGATTACAATGTACACATATATGGCAAACATTCAATCCCGAGACACACAACAGATAAAGACAAACAGTCAGAGGCTATTTAACTTTTTTCTGGTCGCCAGGGGAGCTGTCGCTTTCATCGTCCATCAGCAACACTGATGAAGTACTTCCGCATTCCCCGCATGCTTTTTGCTGGAGTGCTTTGCTGGAGTCTTTTTTATGGCCTCATAAATTTTCTTAAATTAGCCTCCTCACACATAGGTGGTACCTAATTTTCCTACTTGACAGATGCAACTGTCTTTCAAGTTGCAAAGGTCGACAACAAGCTACACAATTGGTCGGAAGCTCACTCCGACCCGGGCTGGCTTTGAACTCATGACCTTGTGGTCAGAAGTGATCTTAATGCAGATAACTCAGATAGCTGCGCCACAGTCCCAGAGTTCAGAATGCTCTTTTATTTTATCATTTGGGAATTGTAGTTGCTAGGATTTACAGTTCACCTAAACTATAAATCCCAGCAACTACAATTTCCAAATGACAAAATCAATCTCCCCCGCCAAAAACCCCACCAGTATTCAAATTTGGGCATATCGGGTATTTGTGCCAAATTTGGTCCAGGGGATGAAAATAATCCTGCATATTAGATGTTTACATTACGATTCATAACAGTAGCGAAATTACAATTATGAAGTAGTAACGAAAATAATTTTATGATTGGGGGTGACCATAACATGAGGAACTGTATTAAGGGGTCACAGCATTAGGGATGTTGAGAACCATTAATCTTTATGAGAAAAACATGAAGTGGAAACAACATCTTGCTTCTACTCCCTTCTCGATATGTTTTCGACTTGGCCACGGTGGTACACGCTCTGGTCACATCCCGGCTTGACTACTGCAACGCTCTCTACGTGGGGCTGCCCTTGAAAACGGCCCGGAAGCTTCAGCTGGTTCAGCGTGCGGCAGCCATGTTACTAACTGGAGCGGGATACAGGGAGCACACAACGCCCTTGTTGTCCCAGCTCCACTGGCTGCCGATTTGCTACCGGGCCCAATTTAAGGTGCTGGTGTTGGCCTACAAAGCCCTAAACGGTTCCGGCCCAAAATACCTTTCAGACCGCATTGGCCTATGAGCCCACGAGGACCTTGAGATCGTCTGGGGAGGCCCTTCTCTCGATCCCGCCTGCCTCACAGGCACGCCTGGCGGGGACGAGAGAGAGGGCCTTCTCAGTGGTGGCCCCCCGGTTGTGGAACACTCTCCCTACAGACATCAGGCAGGCGCCCTCTCTTTTGTCCTTCCGAAAAAGCCTCAAGACGTGGCTGTTCGAGAGGGCATTTAATTAAGTGCTATAGTAATGTGGTAAAGACGACTGGAATGGTACAAGGAATACGAGATTGGTCACGATTCTATTACGAGACGAAGCGGATTAGTTAGTGTAATTTTAACTGTTGTATTGTTGTATGGTTAATATGCTGTTGTACTTGTCTTTGTGTGAATTGCCTTTTGTACTGTACACCGCCGTGAGTCGCCCGAGTGGGCTGAGAATGGCGGTTAATAAATGCTCCAAATAAATAAATAAATAAATTTTCCATGCTTGCTCACCGCTCACCTCCACCTTACCTGCTGAGCGGTGCTCTCTCTGTGCTGTTTTTTCTGGGTCACTTTAATGGGAGGTAGCTTGGTAACGGCAGAAACGAGGAAGTTCATCAATATGTCCTCACAGTTGGCAATCTGATCAATGAGGCCCCGTAGCCGAGCAGGCAAGAAATGGGTGAAGAGGCTGTGATAATACCTGTTTAAGGAAGAAAGAGAAGGCAGGAAGGAAGGAGAAAAGAAAACAGAGCAATCAGTTTGTTCGGGAGGAGGCCGTGGAAAAAGCAATAGAGCACAATCCTCCTTTGCTGGTGTCCTCCTAACCTAGGCATGTTGGGAGTTGTGATCCTCAAAAAGTAACCACCCTAAGCTATACTTTAGTTCTTATTCTTGTTGCAATCGTATACTTTCAACTCGTTTCCATCCTACGACAACCCGGTAACATTTGTTCAAGAAACGTTTGTCATTCCCTTCCTCTGAGGCTCAGAGAGTGTGACTTGCGGAAGGTCACTTTATTATACTGATTATAATTTTGCGAGAATACAGTTCTCAACTTAAAGCAGCCGTGCCTAATTCGCAGTTTCTAAGTGAACCAGGAGACCTCACAACCTCTGAGGATGCTTGCCATAGGTGTAGGCGAAACATCAGGAGAGAATGCTTCTAGAACAGTGGTTCTCAACCTTCCTAATGCTGCGACCCCTTAACACAGTTCCTCATGTTGTCGTGACCCCCAACCATAATATTATTTTTGTTGCTACTTCACAACTATAATTTTGCTACTGTTATGAATCATGTAAATATCTGATATGCAGGATGTATTTTCATTCACTGGACCAAATTTGGCACAAATACCCAATATGCCCAATTTGAATACTGGTGGTGGGGGGGTTGATTTTGTCATTTGGGAGTTGTAGTTGCTAGGGATTTATAGTTTACCTACAATCAAGGAGCATTATGAACTCCAACAATGGAATTGAACCAGTCTTGCCACACAGAACTCCCTTGACCAACAGAAAATACTGGAAGGGTTTGGTGGGCATTGACCTTGAGGTTTGGAGTTGTAGTTCACCTACATCCAGAGAGCACTATGGACTCACACAATGATGGATCTGGACCAAACTTGCCATGAATACTCAACATGCCCAATGTGAATGAACACTGGTGGAGTTTGGGGAAAATAGACCTTGGCATTTGAGAGTTTTAGTTGCTGGGATTTATAGTTCACCTACAATAAAAGATCATTCTGATCCCCACCAATGATAGAATTGGGCCAAACTTCCCACATGGAACCCCTATGACCAACAGAAAATACTATGTTTTTGGATGGTCTTTGGCGACCCCTCTGAAACCCCCTCGTGACCCCCCCCAGGGGTCCCGACCCCCAGGTTGAGAACCACTGTTCTCAACCTGAACATGGCTGTATAGACTGAAAAACCTACAACTACAATTCTGTGTGCCAAGTATGGCTCAATTCCATCATTGGTGGAGTTCAGAATGCTCTTTGATTGTAGGTGAACTATAAGTCCCAGCATCTACAACTCCCAAATGACAAAATCAGTCCTCCCCAACCCCACTTCTATTGTTGGTGAGGTTCAGAATGCGCTTTGATTGTACGTGAACTATAAATCTGGATGTAAGTGAACTACAACTCCAAAACTCAAGGTCAGTGCCCAACAAACCCTTCCAGTATTTTCTGTTTGTCGTGGGAGTTCTGTGTGCCGAGTTTGGTTCAGTTCCATAGTTGGTGGAGTTCATAATGCTCTTTGATTGTAGGTGAACTATAAGTCCCAGCATCTACAACTCCCAAATGACAAAATCAGTCCTCCCCAACCCCACTAGTACTCAAATGTGGGTGTATTGAATATTTTTGCCAAATTTGGTCCAGTGAATGAAAATACATCTTGCATATCGAATATTTACATTATAATTCATAACAGTAGCAAAATTACAGTTATGAAATAGCAACGAAATTTTTATGGTTGAGGGTCACCACAACATGAGGAACTGTATTAAGGGGTCGCGGTATTGGAAAGGTTGAGAAACACTGCTATATATTCTTATTGCATGTTTTTATTTATTTTACTCTATTTACACAGGTTTTTAAATGCGTCGTGTCATTATTGTATTGTTTTGCTTTGTTATGAGTTATTTATAGTTGTATTGTTGTTGTTATGTTTTATGATGTATTTGGCCTCGGCCTCTTGTAAGCCGCACCGCGTCCTGCGGGAGATGGTAGCGGGGTATAAATAAAGGTTTATCATTATTATCATTATTATCATTATTATTATTATTATTATTATTATTGTTTTACATGTATTCTTTTACTCTATTTATTATTATTATTATTATTATTATTTTATTCTATTTATTTTTACATGTATATTTTACTCTATTATTGTTATTACATTTATTATTTTATTCTATTATTATTACATGTATTATTTCACTCTATTATTACTGTTATTATTACATTTATTATTTTACCCTATCACTGTTATGATTACATTTATAATTTTACTCTCTTTATTATTCTTGGAAGGCTACGTAAGCACATTTACCTTGAAGACGATGAGAATAATGGTTGAATCAGAGTTGGACAGTCTTATCTTAAATTACAGTTTATGTAAATATTCAAAAACATTTAACCTACTGATGCCTCCATTTATGTAATTTTATTGGTATCTATTTTAATTTTGGAATTTACCACTAGTTGCTGCATTTCCCACTTTCAGCTTATAATTGAGTCAATACGTTTTCCCAGTTGTTTTGTGGTAAAATTAGGTGCCTCGGATTATATACGGGTCAGCTTATTCTTGAGTATATATGGTATGTATTGAAGGAAGTATGATCCGCTACAACTTGGAATGGGAGGTTTTCATATCAAAACACTTGCTACGAGGCCCCATTTATCAAACTGAAACATGAAAACAGATGGAGGGCACCTGTGGTAGAATGCGGCTGCAGTGAGAACCATGGAGAATTCGTTGGTCCACTTTGAGGTGTAGCTCCACTGGCTCTTGCTGGCATCCCAGAAGTGGCTGCGCATGGGGAAGCCCACAATCCGCTCAGGGAAGCTCCTCCACACCACAAAGGCAAAGTCAATCTGGGGAAGCAGGGAGACAGAAGGAAATTAACAGCAGCACCGATATAACAACAACAACAACAACAACAACAACAACAACTGTTCTGTCGCGCGCTGGGCCTGTAACAGCTGTACTTTTCTATAGGACGTATACTTTAAGCCCAGCGGGAAGCCAGGGGCGCCTCAAAGAGAGGTTTTCAGGGATTTTTCTGAAGTGATGGTCTTTAGAGTCTTTAATGATACAACAAAGTCTTTATTATGGAACAAACAACAAATCTTCAATGGTTCAAACAACACTTCAAGGCTTTCTTAGTCTAGTCCTCAATGGGCTGGTACCTGACTTTGATTAACTGTACTTTCTCTGTAGGAAAAAACCCTGTTTAACCTCTCCCAGGCTGCTTACTATCTATGCCTCATCGGTGTGGGTCTTACTACCGATTCCAAATGCGTCTGGGTATCGAGTAGACCTACCAGCCGAGGCTTGATGATATTTCAGCTGGAGTTCCGTGGATCTGTCCTCCCTCAGAGAATTCTTTGAAACTTCAGGGCTGTTTCCCCTCTGATTGCTGTGAGGCTGAGAGGCTGTGAGCTCTCAGCCAGAGCCTTGGGACCTTTTCCCTGGAATTTCTGTTTCCCCGGATGTTTTTGAGAAAAGAAGCTTTTCTACGGGACGAGCTGGTCTACGTCCTATAGTTTAGTTTCCTTATGTGAGACTAACTAAAAATGGCTCCTTTCCCTCCCAGAGCCCTGAACAAGGGGCGGAACCAAAGCTTAATTATGATGGACAGGAGGCCTGTCCTATGACTGCAAACAGATAACAGAAAGAAAATAAAGTTGGAGCTCCTGTACAGCAGTACCAGCAGAACAACAACAACAAAAATAATAATGAATGTATTGCCCGCCTCTCTCTCCGGCTCGTAGTGGGGTACAACAGCATTAAAACAAGAGATATAACACTATTAAAAGACATAACAAGATATAGAGATGTCTTGTCAAAGACTTTCATGGCTGGAATCACTGGGTTGCTGTGAGTTTTCTGGGCTGTCTGGCCATGTTCCAGAAGCATTCTCTCCTGACATTTCGCCTGCATCAACGGCAGGCATTCACAGAGGTTGTGAGATCTGTACATTTATGAAGAGGTCTTTTGTTAATGAGCCTACTTGCTCAAAAATCTTCAGAGCAAGAGAAGCAGGTAAAACATCAGGAGAAAAAGCAGCTAGAACATGGACATAAACCACACAACACCCGAGCAATTTAATAGTTGGGAAGTGTCCGACGTATGATTCAATGCAACAGCCAGTAGAGTGTCTGCTGTGGACTCATCTTGTTGCGTTTCTAATAATAATAATAATAATCATCATCATCAGCATCATCATCATCATCATCATCAATATAAATAAAAATGTAATGTTCGTTTGTGGGATTAACAGAACTCAAAAACCACTGGTTGAATTGACACCAAATTTGGACACAAGACACCTAACAACCCAATGTATGCCCTTCACTCAGAAAAAATGATTTTGTCATTTGGGAGTTGTAGTTGCTGGGATTTATAGTTCACCTACAATCAAAGAGCATTCTGAACCCCACCAACGATGGAATTGAATCAAACTTGGCACACAGTTCTCCCATGACCAACAGAAAATACTGGAAGGGTTTGGTGGGCAGTGTCCTTTGGTTTTGGTGTTGTAGTTCACCTACATCCAGAGATCACTGTGGACTCAAACAATGATAGATCTGAACCAAACTCTACACAAATACTCAATATGCCCAAATGTGAACACTGGTGGAGTTTGGGGAAAATAGAATCTTGACATTTGGGAGTTGTAGTTGCTGGGATTTATAGTTCACCTACAATCACAGAGCATTCTGAACCCCACCAACGAAAGAATTGGGCCAAACCTCCCACACAGAACCCCCATGTGGGCCACAGCAACACGTGGCAGGGGACAGATAATAATAATAATAATAATAATAATAATAATAATATATTTATTTATTTGACTGGTCGTGTGACCATTTCAAAACTCAACACGAATAAAATACAAGGCAAAAAGCCTGATTGATATCACAGCAAACATTTATGCAAAATATCTTTTGATTAAAATTGAGTGTTTGCTGTGGGAAAAGGAGGCACACCACCCTTCTCCTGCCCCAAAGCTGTCTACCTACCTCAGACTCATTTCAGAGAATGAAATCCTCCCCATTCCTGGGAATAATTAAATGCAAGAGCCTCGAACGGCAAGCCTAAGGCCATCCTACCTGATGTCTATCCTTTCTAAGAAGCACAGTCTCTATCACCTCATCACACTAGAAAAAAAATCCACTTAAAATGCGGTTTCTGTCTCCTGCAGAATTCTGGGGTTTGTAGTTTAGGGAGGAGCCTTTAACAGCCTCACTAAACTACAAAATCCAGAATGCTGCAGGAGGCAGAAACCGGATTTTAAGTGGATTTTTTTCTCTAGTGTGACGAAGTCAGGGCTTGCCTAGCCTAACTGAGCCTTTGCAATTTGGTGCCCATTTGGATTTGATTTAAATGTTCTGTCTAGATCCTCCAATGTGACTCTATTGTCTACTTCCTCCAGTCATGATGGAAGACCTAGAGATGTCTAGGGAGATAACCTCTCTAGAAATCTCTAGGTTCTTCAGTGTGATGCTATGCCCCGCATTTTGATGCTATCTGGAAATGCCATCAGAGATGCAGCTCTAAGCGCTTGAGGGAAAGACTTTCTAAATACCTGGAATATCCATATTCATTAACATCTGATTTGGCTTCCACATGGATGTGGAAATAGTAGTAGACTGGTGCATGGAATATTTCCTGTAGGGAAATTTCTTGATAATGAATACTGGGATTGTGGCGCACCAGGATTGTGGCGCAGCTGGCTGAGTGTCAGCTGCATTAAGATCACTCTGACCAAAAGGTCATGAGTTCAAAGCCAGCCCGGGTTGGAGTGGGTTTCCAACCAATTGTGTGTAGCCTGTTGTCGACCTTTGCAACCCGAAAGACAGTTGCATCTGTCAAGTAGGAAAATTAGGTACCACCTTAAAGTGTGAGGAGGCTAAATTAACTAATTTATGAGGCCATAAAGAAGACTCCGGCAGAGCATTCCAGCGGGGAAGCATGTGGGGAATGCGGAAGTACTTCATCAGCGTCGCAGATGGACGATGAAAGCGACAGCTCCCCTGGCGGCCAGAAAAAGTTAAATAGCCTCTGTGTATGTCTATATATGTTTGTATGTCAAAAATTGGCATTGAATGTTTGCCATATATGTGTACACTGTAATCCGCCCTGAGTCCCCTGCGGGGTGAGAAGGGCGAAATATAAAAGCTGTAAATAAATAAATAAATAAATAAATAAATAAATAAATACGTCCTGCAGGGAAACCCATGTAAGTTCATTGGCAGAGCAAGAGATGAGCCTCGCTGTTGGGCGTCAGGCCAGGGGCAAAACACGGCCCTAGAGGTTGGCTGCCCCTTGGCACATTCCTATATTCTGGACTATTTGCCTTTGGTGAGAAGCTGAAAGGGTCTCATAGCATTGCCTTACCTCGTTGGTGGAGAGGCTGGTGTGTTCATCCAGGCTCAGCACTGCATCTGTTTCAATGGCGGAGTAAGGCAAAAACCGGTCACTGACCTTCAGGAAATAAAGAAGAGAGGAATGGGGAAGCCATCCAAAAGACAGAAACACAGTTTTATGACCCCACCCCACAACACTGAATCTCAGGCTTTGGGTGCAGCTACACTATAGCATTAATACACAGAGAAGCCATGGAAATCCACAAGCATGTGGACAATTTCAACAAAAAGGAGGAAACCATGAAAATGAACAAAATCTGGTTACCAGAATTAAAAAAAAACTCTAAAACCAGGACACTAAATAAAGAGCAACACTCAAAAACAGGGGAACTCCAGACAGGAAACAATCAGGGCCAGGTGACAACTCCCAACAAAGGAGCATAGTGTCTGGATCCAGGGAAGTCATGCTACCCCTCTATTCTGCTTTGGTTAGACCACACCTGGAATATTGTGTCCAATTCTGGGCACCACAACTGTAGAGAGATATTGACAAGCTGGAATGTGTCGACTAAAATGATTAAGGGTCTGGAGAACAAGCGCTATGTGGAGCGGCTTAAAGAGCTGGGCATGTTTAGCCTGAAGAAGAGAAGGCTGAGAAGAGATATGATAGCCATGTATAAATATGTAAGAGGAAGTCACAGGGAGGAGGGAGCAAGCTTGTTTCCTGCTTCCCTGGAGACTAGTACACGGAACAATGGCTCCAAACTCCAAGAAAGGAGATTCCATCTGAACATGAGGAAGAACTTCCTGACTGTGAGAGACGTTCAGCAGTGGAACTCTCTGCCCTGGAGTGTGGTGGAGGCTCCTTCTTTGGAAGCTTTTAAACAGAGGCTGGATGGCCATCTATCAGGGGTGCCTTTGAATGCAATATTCATGCTTCTTGGTAGGGGGTTGGACTAGATGGCCCATGAGGTCTCTTCCAACTCTTTGATTCTATGATTCTATAATAATAGAGTTGGAAGAGACCACATGGGCAATCCAACCCAACCCCATGTCTGCCAGGTAGAAAAAGCACAATCGAAGCTCTCCCGACAGATGGCCATCCAGCCTCAAAAGTATTGTTAATAATTATATAATAATAATAATAATAATAATAATAATAATAATAATAATAATAGAGTTGGAAGAGACCACATGGGCAATCCAACCCCATGTCTGCCAGGTAGAAAAAGCACAATCGAAGCTCTCCCGACAGATGGCCATCCAGACTATGATTCTCCCCAGGCAGGAAGCAGCCAGGCTTTGAACCTGCAAGTCCATTCAATGATAATCAAGGTGGCCTTTGCAGCATTCACACTTGCCTACAACAGGACAAGAGTTCTTTCTCCCACCATGGACCTTCCACAGATATATAAAGCTCACTTGCCTAGTTTCGAACAGATCTCACAACCTCTGATGTGGGCAAAATGTCAGGAGATAATGCTTCTGGATCATGGCCAAACAGCCCAGAAAACTCACAGCAACCCAGTTATTCCTGCTATGAAAGCTTTCAACAACACATATTCTACACACTTTGTTTTCAATTTTTCTGGGGAAAAATTGTTTTAGGAAAAATGGGGAAAACTGCCCCCCCCCCCCAAAAAAATTCTCTTTTTTCCCCAGGTCTTCCCATCTCTAGGGGGAAGAAATTGGGCAGATTTCAGTACAAATTAAGGGGGGAAATGAAGATCATCAATTACTGGTTTGCGAATTCCGGGGGCCTTTACTTGACAACCACCGAAAGGGAAATAGTCAGCAGAATCCGCCCCATACACGGCCCCCAAGGAGGCAGAAAATGCATAGTTTATGCAATCACACAGAAAAGCAGAGCTTCAGAACCTTTTTAAATGTCAAGAAATACAATTAGAATCCGGTTCGCAGTTACTCCATTTCAGAGACGTTTTGCAAACTGATTCCTGCTGACAAAAGGGGACAAACGTCGTGTGATGGGACGACCTTTTTGGGAATCCCATGCAAAGCAGCTCGGAAATGGAGTACAACCCAATGTGATAAGGTCCTGGATGCTTTAAAATGTCACTGTTTGTTGTCCTTATGGCAACGGCGGTAGACTTCAAAGCATGCAAGTGATACGGAGGAAAAAAATCTCAGGATCCAAATAAAATAATTGCCAGCATCTGGCAAGGATCATTATGGTTCAGTGGCAGTGTCATCACTGAGATGTGTCTTGTTCTCCGGCACAAGCAAAGCTGCCTGTTTACCTTGTTGCTGCTGTGGATCACTCTCAAGGGAACCGACGTCTGCGGCCATTTACTGCTTTGTGGCGGTGGCTTCTCGCAGCTCCATAAAACTAAAATCTGAGGAGGAAAGATGGAGGGGGAAGGACATCTTGAATCAGCAAGATGAGAAGCAAAGCAATCATGCAGAGATATCCCCCTCTGGACCTCGGTTCTGGCTCCTCAAATGAATAGATACCAATCATTATGTAAGATATAGGGCCCTGGCCTCTTTTTTAATGTTTGCGTATTTGTATATTTTAAATGCTATGCTGATGCTTTTATGTTCAGCCGCTTTGAGTCTCTTGCATGAGAAATAAAACAGATAATAATAATAATAATAATAATAATAATTTATACCTAAATTGTTCTAATCTGAACATCAAGAAACACACCTCCCCCCCCCCTATATATACACACACATACAAGTTTGCTCTAGATCCCTGATGGTGAACCTATGACATGCGTGTCAGCACTGACACGCATGGCTATTTTTGATGACACGCGGCCACATGCGGCCATATACAGCGAAGTACACCTTATAAGAGCCAATCTAATTCCATCCTTAAACTTGTAAAAGGCTCTACAAATTTAACATCTGCACGTTTGAGCATTGTTCACTCCATAACTCAGCATGGAGTATACATTTTTCTTATTTAAACTATAAATATTGCAAAATTATGGGTTTTTTTTCTTGAAGTTGACACCCCACCCAAGTTATGCTCAGGTTTTTGGCAAATTTTGACACACCAAGCTCAAAAGGTTGCCCATCACTGCTCTAGATGCATCATCACTGGGGTTCTGTGTGCTCTCTGGCTGTAGGGTAAACTACAACTCCCATTATGTTGAGTCAGTCCCCTCAAACCCCTCCAGTCGGTTGAGTCGGCCATGGGGGTTCTGTGTGCCAAGTTTGGTCCAGGTCCATCATTGGTGGAGGTCCCAGTTTCTCTGGTTGTGGGTGAACTACAACTCCCAGAAAGGAAGGTCAGTAACAACCCCCTCCCCCAACCCCTCTAGTAATCAAATGTCAGCACATCCATTATTTGTGCCAAGCTTGGTCCAGATCAGAGGTGGCCCTAGGTAATTTTCAACGTTAAGCAAACAGTATTTTGCCCCCCCCCCCGCCCCCAACCCATCACTGATATATATTTTCTGTTTGTTGTGGGAGTTCTGTGTGCCATATTTGGTTCAATTCCATCATTGGTGGAGTTCAGAATGCTCTTTGATTGTAGGTGAACTATACATCCCAGTAACTACAACTCGCATATGTCAAGGTCTATTTTCCCCCAAGAGCGCCTCAGGAGCGTCCCTGGGCAAAATCAACTATACTGATACTGCAAAATCAACTATACTGCAAATCTAAGATTACTTTGCATAATGGGTTGAGCTGCCCCTGGTCCAGACTCATCGATGTTTGGGTTCACAGTGCTCTCTGGATGTAGGTGAACTACAACTCCCTCAAATCAATTTTCCCCAAAGACCTCCAGTATATTTTGCTGGCTCTCTGTGCCAAGTTCGGTCCAATTCCATCTTTGGTGGAGTCCAGAGTGCTCATTGATTGCAGGTGAACTATAAATCCTAGTACCTACAACTCCAAATTGTCCAGGCCAATTCCCCTCCAAACACAGCAGTATTCAAATTTGGGCATATCGGGTATGCATGTCAAGTTTGGTTCAGATCCATCATTGTTTGGGTTCATAGTGCGCACTGGATGTAGGTGAACTACAACTCCTATAAATCCCTCCACAGACCTCCAGTATGTTTTGTTGGCCATGGGGGTTCCGTGTGCCAAGTTAGTTCCAGGTCCATCAATAGTGGAGTTCAGAGTGCTCTAAGATTGCAAGTGAACTATACATCCCAGGACCTACAACTCCTATAAATCATGAAGAATTCTCCCCAAACCTCTCTAGCATGTTCTGTTGCTGATCAATTCCTCTGTTTGCTGTGTGCCATAGAAAAGAATAGGAAAGGATTCAGGCAGTGGGCAGGGTCATGCAAATTCCACACCAATGGAGAGAGTAAGAAAAACTGGGATGCCTGTGGTAGAGGAAACACATGAAATCTAGGATGAAATTGTCCCCGTATGAAAGCCTTCACTCAGGTGTGGGGTGGTATAATGTTTGTGGAGGACACTGGCAGGGCTCTTGTACATGTTTACGGCACTCTCTATAACCTGCAATGTCATAGGAGGGAGGGCCATTGGTGTCTCCTGAATTGTGGGAATTTTAGCTATTTGTGGAAGGGGGAGCATATCTGTGTAAATGGGCACCCCAGCCACACACATACATACATATTTCCACTTTCATTATGTGTATAGAGAGAGTCAAGAGTGCAAGCGTACATCAAATATACAATTTAAGCATGCTGTTTTGAAAGTGCAAGTTCGATCAAGTATCAGTCATGTTTAGAATAGCAGATGAATTGAAATCAATGGGATTTATGTTAGCTCTGACTCACTAGTCCCATTGATTGCAAAGCCTGGGAGAGATGCTGAAAGCTTTGTTGTTAAGGTTCTGACTCATCTGCAATCCATGGATCTCTGACATATTTGCTTGTGAAGACTACTGCGTTTGAAATTGCCTTCTCCCAAACCGTGTGTACATCATTCTGCAGCTTTTGGTTACTGGGCAGACCTCTGCTCAGGACAGCATAATTTGCCCGGCAATTCCCTATTAGAGTTGGGCAAGACCCAGGAAAAGCACAATCAAAACACCCCCCGCAGATGGCCATCCAGCCTCTGTTTAAAAGCCTCCAATGAAGGAGCTTCCACCAGACTTTGAGGCAGAGAGTTCCACTGTTGAACAACAATTCTGTTCAGGAGGTTCTCCCTAATGTTCAGATGATACAACACACCAATCCTGCCATTAGCAAAACTGGGAATGGTTTTCATTACAGCTGTTATTCTCTATTTTTGATCCCCCAAAAGTTTTGGAGCACACCAACCCCCTGTTATGTCAACTCCACTGGCTGCCGGTCCATTTCCGAACACAATTCAAAGTGCTGGTCTTGGCCTATAAAGCCCTATATGATTCTGGCCCAGCTTACTTGTCTGAATGCATCTCCCTCTATGTTCCGCCTTGTAGTTTAAGATCTACCAGGGAGGCCCTGCTCTCGATCCCACCGGCTTCGCAAACGCGTCTGGTGGAGACGAGGGACAGGGCCTTCTCAGTGGTGGCCCCCTGCTTATGGAATTTGTTCCCCAGTGAGATTAGATTGGCATCCTCCCTCCATTCCTTTAGGAAAAAACTGAAATCGTGGTTTTGGAACCAGGCTTTTGGCTAGCAGACACAACGGCACTTTGAACATTGAATTGGACCATACGATTATTGTTATGATAATGGAAATGGCTATGATTGTATAATTAATGTTATTGTTTTTAATCTATTGTGTATTTATGGTTTTATATTGTTTTTACATTGTGATATTGCGGCATCGAATTGTTGCCAGTGTTAGCCGCTCTGAGTCCTGCCTCGGGGGTGGAGAAGGGCGGGGTAGAAATGTTGTAAATAAATAAATAAAATACAACTCCCAGAATCCTTGAAACCAATTGGGGGAATCTCCAATAAAAACGTAACTTTCCTGAGCAGATTTAGATGGGATGAGGCATTAATTTTATTAATCTGATGCTATTCCTTTAAAAAAATGTGTTTGTATTCATAAAACATAAAAGAAATTCATGCCGACAAATATAATATCAGTCCTTCAGCTCTCTGTGTGGTTTAATATACGTTCTTGTTCAGAGCAGAAACAGTTGCTAATGAAAACCTTGTGGGACAAAGCTTGTGTTGTAATGGCGCTCTTCCACTTTATCAAGAAGGCATGCAGTTGTTTCCAAGGACTTGATCTTCCCGTTCCAAATTCCTTCTTTCTGCAGGAGCTGGAGATATGTATTAAGATGCACCAAATCCAACGCAGAGTCCATCCAACACAGAATGTGGGGACTAGTCCACTCCTTGTATTGCCGAAGGCTTTCTTGGCTGGAATCACTGGGTTGTTGTAGGTTTTTCGGGCTATATAGCCATGTTCCAGAAGCAATCTCTCCTGCCGTTTTGCCTGCATCTACGGCAAACATCCTCAGAGGTTGTGAGATAATGCTTGCCATAGATGCAGGCAAAACGTCAGGAGAGAATGCTTCTAGAACATGGCCCTATAGCCTGAAAAACCTACAACCATCCCTTGTCCACTAACCCTTGTGATAGGCGATGAATGAGATTGGGGGTTCTGCATCCAAAGGGTTAATTGGGAGAGGCTTTGGTTGTCTCCTGAGTAGTGGGAGCAATAGCTGTTTGTGGAGGCAGGAGCTTGTCTAAGTAAGTTTTAATAAATATTCTTTATTGAGATTTTCATAAAAAGTACACAATTATCATAAAAATCATCATGGGTGATGATAGAAAACAGTGCAAAGAAAGAAAAGAAGAAAAGAGAGAAAAAAAGAGAAAAAGTGTGAATAAGGAAAGAAGGAAAGAGAAGAGAAAAAAAAGAAAGAGAAAAAAAAACACAAACATTTGACCTCCTGGTATCTTCCGAAAGTCTTCCATGTAAATTCTTATTTTCATTTCCTCATTTCTTTAGTTCTTCGTTTTCTTCTTTCCCACTTTTGAACGCGTTACTATCTTCATTTGTCCTTCTCAAAATACTATTTCTTTATTCTTCTTTCTTAAATATTCAGTGACTTCTTTCTAGTCCGTTTCTTTTCTTCTAATTCCCTTGTTTTTCAATAATAGGAAGGTAAGCTTATCTAAGTTTCTAATATCTAACATTTTTATTATCCAATCATCCACTTTTGGTATCTCTTCTTGTCTCCACTTTTTGGCATAGCACATTCTCGCAGCCGTTAATGCTAGAAATAAGATTTTGTCTTTATCCTTTTCCAGGTTTTTATCATAGATTCCTAACAAAAATAATTCTGGTTTCATTGGTAACTGTACTTATAACATATTTTGGATTTATTTATGAATTTTCCTTCAGAAATCTCTTGCTTTGTCGCACATCCACCACATGTGGAAAAATGATCCTTCCCTCTTCTTACACTTCCAGCATGTCATACTTGTGTTGTTATAAATTTTTCCTAATTTCTTCGG